CATACATTGACATGAATCAGCCATGGATTTACATGTATTCCCCATCCCTATTTAGGTTTAATTTATTAAAAACTTAAAACAGTTGATATTTATTGACTGAACAAGGTATTGTATTAGGTTCTTCACATGTATAATGTCATGTAGTTTACAAGCAAATGAGAAAATTCCTTTTCAGCAGATGAGAAAATTATTTAAGGGATTTTAAACAGTTTGTCAAAAGTTACAGAAATAGTAAGTGGTGGAGCTAGATCCAAACTGCAGTCTGTCAGACTCTAAACTTGATTTCAGTTGTTTTATTTTTTGGCAATCAGAAAAAATTACGTTAAGACTTACCTAGAAACTCTTTGTTTATAGAAGTATTCTGGTGGCCCACGTATGTAATTGTCCATTGTTTTGTTTGTTTGTTTTTAAGAGTTCTCTAGTCTTTGAATTTTTCCACTGTAAACTTTTCCAATACTGTTGAGGTAGAGTGAACAATTTGCCATAGGTTTTGTTCCATAAATAGGACTTGTAGGTGTGATTGGAATACAGAAGTAAGATTATACTACATCTAAAAGGGACCTTTGAGTATTGTCAGTTTAAAAGATTTTTGCTTTTAAATTAGCAGAAATTTCTAATATATATGTGTAAAAATAGAACAGGTAGTTTTGAATAGGTAGCAAATTTTTGGTCAATAACTTAGTCATTAGAAATATTATGTAGATAAGAGGGGAATGGGTGATTGTAAGAAATTGTTCCTGAGGAACACGAACTCAGAGGGGTCTGACCTACCTTTTTTCTTTTTCCTTCTTTTTTTTATGGCCGCTTTTATGCTGTAGGTACAAAATGATTTAATTATCTACAGCACCTAAAATATTTACTATCTGGTGCAGTTCAGTAAAAGTTTGTTAATTATTCCTATAAAGTATACCCCAGTGAAAATGATTTTACTTGATTTGTCCATAAAAAATGGAGAAAACTTTTCAAGCTTTGGCTGGTAACTTGTCACTTGTTTCCATGGTCAGCACATAAAGCTTCACAGTGGGCTCCTATACTAAAGTAGAGCAGATTCTGGCCATATTATGAGTCTTAATATCAAAAGGCTGAGCTAAAGACTATCCTTAGTTTAATCAGACTAATTAAAAGCCCCAACTAAGTTCTTTTCTCCTAGTTTTTTGTTTTGGCCATTCTGTTTAACTGTAAAGTAGTTAGTGTCAAATGAAGTTCATTGTGACATCAGGCAAACGGAGGCATCCACGTGTGGGAGTGCTAGAAATAAACCTGGTATCTGTCTCAGGGGAAACCATGTGTGTCTAACAAGAAAAAGGAACTTGTCTGTTCAGTGATATCTTTGCTGACTTTTTGTACTCTGACCCCATGTTTTAAAAAATACACAGGATTTTAATTCTTTTGAGTCCATTTTCAAACCAATAGCTGTTTTTTTCACTAAACATTTTCTTTTTTTTTTATACTGTTTCTATAAATATACATGCCCCCAGTGTTCGTGTTGTGTTTGTTTTTCTTTTGGCCAGCTGTTTAGGTTAAACTAGTTCATCCAGCACACAGTATTTTTTTAAAAATAATTTTATTTATTAATTAATTTTGGCTCTGCTGGGTCTTCCTGCTGTGCTGGCTTTTCTTTTCTTTTTTTTCCCCAGATTTTCTTTAGTTGGGATGAAAGGTGGCTACTCTCTAGTTGTGGTAGAATGGGCTTCTCATTCCAGTGGCTTCTTTTGTTGTGGACCATGGTCTCTAGCGTGCATGGACATCAGTAGTTACAGCACATGGGCTCAGTAGTTTCAGCTCCCAGACACTAGAGCAAGGGCTCAATAGTAGTGGCCCACGGACTTAGTTGTTCCGTGGTATGTGGGATCATCCCAGATCACGGACAGAACCCGTGTTTCCTGCATTGGCAGGCAGATTCTTTACCACTAAGCCTCTAGCAAAGTTAGAGGCATTTAAGTTCAATGTCAAAGCTTCAGATACATTCTACTATTTTGATCAGAATATTTTAGCTGCTGCAAAAGTGCTACATTAGGATGAATTAAAGTACCTATTTTTCATTTTTCTCTGATGTCTCAAAATACTCTTGATAGCTTCACTGCCAAATTAGAACTTTTGTAAGCCATCAGTATTAGAACACTCTGACCACCGGTCATCAAATAGGTACTGAATTTTGGAGAGTTGTCTTCACTGTGACTTTATATCTGAGTTGTACTAATGGGGGTTTACTTCCTTTTTAAGAGAGCTACACAGCAGTTCTAATGACACTGGTTTCGGTACTTAGAAAGATGAAGGAAGAAGATGGAAGCTATGCAAGCCTTAGGTAAAAGAATTATACTTGCCTCCTTTTGAGGCAATGGGCTAAAGTACCACCAAGACTTGGGTCAGCGTGTCAGAGTCAAGGCCAGAGAAGACTTTCTACATACCCATTCAGAGTAGGGTGATGGGGCTGCCATCTCTGCTACTGTAGAGTTTATCTCACTTTACAATTCTTGCTTCAATGGAAAGATAACAAATTGTGCTTTGGGTCAGAGAGTCTGAGAAAGGAAGATAAACTTTACTAAGTGTTGTTATGGCCTTAATGAGAAGTTGAGTACAAAGGGGGCCCCCATAAGGTAGTTGGGGCTCCAAGAGTTTGTCCCCAGCTTGACTTCTGTCAAACTGTCTTTATGACAAGAATGTTTTTTCCTACCCATTGTGAGCATTTTATCCTCAAGACAGTAAATGCTATCATCAGTGTCTGCTTTTGAAGAGGAAGTTGTTGGACTTTTGCCCAGTTTGGCTACAAGTAAGGTAGGAGGATATGTCGGAAAGTGAGCCAAAGTGCACTTTACCAGACCATGTTTACCTCACATGTGCTGTGTCATGATAAGGATGGGGAGATTGGTAAAAACTGTCATGCTCCATAGCTGCCTTTTCTAATGAAGGGTAAACTTTAAAAATAGAAATCAAATCAATAATGCAGATGTAAAGGCAGCCTATTTGTATATCAGGCTGTCAGCATGTAGTTTCACAGTTTTGCTCCCAACCATATTTTGTTAGAACTAGGAAAGAGCTTAAAGAGCCATAAAACTGAGTTGTTGGTTAGAAGGAAATTCAAAAACTTTTAAATGAAACTCTCCTCTTTTATCTGATGATTACTCACACTAACATACTCATTCATTCCCAACACACACACACACACACACACACACACACACAAACACACATTTTTTTCTCTTTGGTAAAGTCCTTACATTACAGATAAAGCTCCACCTGGTCTTTCCAACACTGACCATTTCTTCTCCTCACCTGGATTTTATGCTCTACCTTGTACTTGCCTCTGTCTGTCGTCCTCCTCATAGAGCTCTTTTTTAGTCCTTGACATGTTCTAGTGGCACTTCTCATCCACCCAACAGTCACATGCACATTATGGGTTTGTGGTTTATCTGATCAGTGAGAACAGGGATTTTTTTTTTTTTGCTCACTTTTTCGTATCACCAGCAGCTAACACAATGATTGACGTATAGTTGCACTTGTATGTACTGAAACAGTGAATTCTATACATTGCATTTTCTGTAGACACCAGCCTTATATTTGAAATTTACAAGGTTGCTTATTCCATTTTGTATTTGTTCTAGTGATAGTACAGTTTTTAGAAAACCAAAGAAAATGTTGACAACCAAAATGAGAGGATAATACTAATATATAAAGAATTCACATAAATCTCTAAGAAAAATGTTTAAACCTCTAATAAATAGACCAAATATCTGATTAACTAATTCACAAAAGAAACTCTACTTGAAATGTCTAAAAGAGACCTGAGAAAATGTTTACTTTTACTAGGGATCATATTTAAGCAAAATGCTACATATCAATTTAGCTAAAATTATTTTGTACAGGAAGCAGCCTGAGAGACCTCTTATATAGTCCGTGACTCTGTAGACTGTATCAGGTTAAAAACATAGTTTTAGAGACACTCAGACCAAGTTTTAAGTCTTGGATCTTCTACTTAAATGGATGACTTTCTTGCAAATTTAGTTTACATTTTGCTTGTAAAATTGATAAGTAAGGAACTCACATTACTTACAGGAATTTTGTTGTTAAATTTATTTAATTCATTCAGAAATACTTATTGAGTGCCTGCTTTGTATACAGTCTCAGGTCCTGAAGAAACACAGTGAACAAATTATCCAAATTTACATCCAAATGGTAGAGACAGACAATAAACAAACACATAAAAAAATGTACAGGATATTGGAGTGTTGAGGGCTATCAAGGAAAATAAAGCAGGAAAGAGATGGCAAGTAGTTTGTTGTCATATAAGATGATTTAGGAATTCTTTACTGAGACAGTGCCATTTCAGGAAAGATTTCAAAGTGGTAAGGGAATAAGCCATGTAGATGTCTTGGGGGAGAATGTTCCAGGCAGAGAAAATAACACAGATAAAGGAATGAAAGAGTGTTGTACCTGATATGTATGAGGAGTAGCAAGGGAGCCAGTGTAGTAAAAACAAGTGAACAAGGGAAAGATACTAAGAGAGGGGAAGCAGGGCTAGACTGAAGGTCTTGGGAGTTCCAACAAGCACAGTCAGGGGAATGACATGAATGCTTGTTGGTTTTTTATAATCTTTTGGCCACAAAGTGCAGCATGTGGGATCTTGGTTCCCAACCAGGTATCAAACCCACACCCCCTGCATTAGCAGCATGGAGTCTTAACCACTGGACTGCCACAGAAGTCCTATGAATGTATTTTAAATGGAGGCGCAGTGGTAAAGAATTTCTCCTGCCAATGCAGGGATATGCAAGGAACGTAGGTTCAGTCCCTGGGTCGGGAAGATCCCCTGTGGGAGGAAATAGCAACCCACTCCAGTATTCTTGCATTGACAGAGGAGACTGGCGGGCTACAGTCCTTGGGGTTGCAAAGAGTTGGACATGACTGAGCATGCAGCACATATTGCTGTTGCCTTTAGGACAGACTATAGTGTGGAATCTGGGAGACTAGTGAGGAAAGTTGAGTAATTGAATAGGGGTGGTGGTGACCTGAACTAGGGTGGTAGCTTAAGGAAGGGTGGAGACAAAGAACTTAGACTGTATGCATTTTCAAGATAGGTAAATGCTGGGAATGGGAGGAAGAATCATAGATTACCTGAAGTTTGTGGGCTTGAACAGCGGAAGGATGGGTTGCTCTTAACCAAGGTAATGTGTAAAGTGCTTAGCCTGCAGTGTGGCACCTAGATGCTCTGTAAAGGGTGATTCTCTTCTCTAAAATTTAGGGGGAAAATGAAAGACTTTTCTTTTATCTAATATGCTTCTGTCTACCTGCATAAATGAGAATATTGCACCAGAATAATCAGGTAATAAATTATCCATTTAGCTGGCACTTTGGAGTTCTATAAAGTACTCTGTTTGTTGGTGAAGATATTTATACTTTAACTAAAAGTGGAACTAATATCTTTTTATATGACTGATACAATAGTGACAAGGGTATAAAGAGTAATAAAACTTTTTTAAAAATTCAAAGAAAAAGATAACTGTCAATCTTTCATTTTATGGACGCATAGACCTGTGACTCTCTATATCCCTTTTCTTCTTTTCAGGATGCTACCTTATGGCTGCTTAGCAACAGGAGACCGCTCTGGCCTCATTGAAGTTGTGAGCACCTCTGAAACAATTGCTGACATTCAGCTGAACAGTAGCAATGTTGCTGCAGCAGCAGCATTCAACAAAGATGCCCTTCTGAACTGGCTTAAAGAATACAATTCTGGGTTCATGTATTTTTGTTTGTCATTCTTCTGAACAAACTGTCAAACAAAGAACTATTCTCTCAGCTAGACTCATCAGTGTCCTAGAGGAAATATTAATATTATCTATTGCTTTATTTCTGGTTAGATCAAAATGACAAACAGGCCTTCCTAGAGTCTAACAGAAGATTAGCATTGAATTCTGCTTCATCTAGATCAAATTTCAGAGCCGAGCAGTAGTTTAACAAACCTAAGAGTTTAAGTATTTAACAAGTAACATAAAACTTTTAAAGTGCATGAATTTCTGTAATTATGGGAATGTATGAACCTAAGTAAATTTTCAACAGATTTTTACAGTAGAAGTAAAGGAGTTTGTCAAGTGGTCTCTCCAAACTAAAAAATACAGTACTAGGAATTGTGTTGTGCTGTGTGTGCTTAGCCACTCACTTGTGTCCAACTCTTTGTGACCCCAGAGAACTGCCAGGCTCCTCTGTTCATGAGATGCTCCAGGCAGGAATGCTGGAGTGGGTTGCCATTCCCTCCTCCAGGGGATCTTCCCAGCCCAGGAATCAAACCTAGGTCTCCCACGTTGCAGGCAGATGCTTTTACCACGTGAGCCACCAGAGAAGCCCAGGAATTGTGTTATTTGTGGTTATTGTGTAGGACAAGCCCTAATACATAGGAAATTAAAGAATTTTCAATGAGAAGAAAATACTAAAAGTATTACTGGCTTAAGACTTTGAAGTCAGACTTAAATGTTTATCATTGGGAAAATCCAAGAGCTTGTATATGAGAATTAGTTTTCAGATTCTGATTTAGGGCCTTGTTCCTAAAGGGTCTATATTAGTTGTTTCTGATTTATATCCATGACTTAAATGATTGGAACATCAATACTTAACTCATATATGGATTTTAGTCTTTGTTCAAAACTTCAAAAGTGTTCCAAAGCCCAGTATCATCCAGCAAAGCTGATTGTCTCCCCTCATAACTATTCATATGAACCTATCCCCCATCCCCACTGAAACATGAGCCCCAGGACACAGCAGTTTAAATAGCTGATTTCTAGTTATCTAGTATCTGAGGCAGCCTGCTGACTCCTCTCTGCCCTGCTCCTCTGAAAGGAAACAAATGTGGATTGGCTCCATCCCATGCCTTTGGAGACTAAAATCTTTTCTTCTGTTTTTTACCTCTCGTTCAGGGATGACCTGGACCGAGCCATTGAGGAGTTTACCCTATCCTGTGCCGGCTACTGTGTAGCTTCTTATGTCCTTGGGATTGGTGACAGACATAGTGATAACATCATGGTCAAAAAAACTGGCCAGGTAAGCAGCTTGCCAGAGTCTGCCAAGGACCTCAGTGATGCTGTTATGTGCAGCTCAGTCTCTTATAAAACTCAGATTCTTTATGATTCTGAGTCATGTCTTTGTCTTTTCTTTTATTTCCCACCCCTTGTTTCATATACCATCTGCTTCATATATTGGTTTGTTTGCTTTAAGTTAGGTAATCAACATTTATTTAAATGCTTAATAATTATTGAAGTTATTTATAAGTGACCTATTCCTTCAATATAAGAAATTGTATTTGGGGGACACAGGTACCTGTGAATAGAAGAATCAGGTATTATGTAGGGTGCAAAGAAAGAAAAGATTAAGAAAAGAAAAAGTTGAGACAAATCCCACTTAATCTTTTCTTTTAGAATATCAAATATAGTCATCTGTGGGAGTAAGGAGAAATGGAGTGTGAGTAATCTCAATTTAGGGTAGCTTAGGAACTACACCAGGTTATTTATTATAAAGAAACTCTTAGTTTTGAAATAAAAGATTTCTAAATCTTCAGAGTGACTTCTATTTGTAAGTCTTTTATTTTAAGCAAAGACAGATAAAATAATTTGAGATATTTTTCAGTTTAGCCATAATTCCCTGACACTAGAGGAATTCCAGAATAAAAATCTCTGGGTCACTATGTGAACTCTGACTCTCAGAGGGACTCAGAGTTTTATACCTCCTTGGAGATCTGAGTAGTTCTGGCTTTGAGAGATGAACCTTGTGTTCACACTTAAAAGAATCCCCTCAGACTTCTGGTTAATCAGATTGAAACACAGGTTTTTCTCCATTCTTTCTTGACTCCCTTCTGATAAGATATTGAAGAATAAGAAATACGTAGGGTCACAAATCAAACCTCAGTAAATTTCAGAAAATTGAAATCATATCAAGCATCTTCTCCAACCACAACACTATGAGACTAGATATCAATTACAAGGAAAAACTGTAAGAAACACAAACACATGGAGATTAAACAACACATTTCTAAATAACCGACAGGTTACTGAAGAAATCAAAAGGAAAATAAGAAAATTTCTAGAAACAAATGAGAAGGAAACCATGACAACTCAAAGCAGCAAAAGCAGTTCTAAGAAGGAAGTTTATAGCAATATGATCCTACCTCAACAGACAAGAAACACATTGAATAGACAAACCTAACTTTACACCTAAAACAACTGAGAAAAAAAGAAGAAAAAAACCCAAAAATTAGTAGAATGAAAGAAATCATAAAGATCCAAGCAGAAATAAATGAAATAGAAATGAAAGAAACAATAGTAAAGATTAATAAAACTAAAAGCTGGTTCTTTGAGAAGATAAATAATATTGACAAATCCTTAGCCAGACTCATCAATAAAAAAAGAGAGAAGAATCAAATCAACAAAATTAGAAATGAAAAAGGATAGGTTACAACAGACAATGCAGAAATATGGCAATAAAATAGATAACCTGGAAGAAATGGACAGGTTCTTAGAAAGTTCAATTTTCCATGACTTCAACCAGGAAGAGATAGAAATTATGAACAACCTAGTTACAAGCATTGAAATTGAAGCTGTGATCAAAAATCTCCCAAAACACAAAAGCCCAGGACCAGATGACTTCACAGGAGAAGTCTATCAATCATTTAGAGAAGAGCTAAGGCCTATCCTTCTAAAACTCTTTCAAAAAATTGCAGAGGAAGGAACACTTCCAAACTCATTCTACAAGGACACCATCACCCTGATACCAAAAGCAGACAAAACAAAAAGAGAAAACCACAGGCCAATATCACTGATGAACACAGATGCAAAAATCCTCAACAAAATTTTAGCAAACAGAATTCAGCAACACATCAAAAAGCTCACACACCATGATCATGTTGGGTTTATTCCAGGGATGCAAGGATTCAACATACGCAAATCAATCAATATGATACACCATGTTAACAAATTGAAAGATAAAAGCCACATGATCATCTCAGTAGATGCAGAAAAAGCCTGACAAAATTCAGCACCCATTTATGATTAAAACTCTTCAAAAAATGGACATAGAAGGAACCTACCTCAACATAGTGAAGGCCATATATGATAAGCCTACAGCAAACATTATTCTTAATGGTGAAAAACTAAGAGCATTCCCTGTATGATCAGGAACAAGACAAGGGTGTCCACTTTCACCACTATTATTCAACACAGTTCTGGAATTCCTAGCTATAGCAATCAGAGAAGAGAAAGAAAGAAAAGGAATCCAAATTGGAAAAGAAGAAGTAAAGTGCTCACTGTTTTCAGATGACATGATACTGTACATAGAACCCTAAAGATACTATAAGAAAATTACTAGAGCTAATCAGTGAATTTAGCAAAATTGCAGGATACAAAATCAATACACAGAAATCACTTGCATTTCTATATGTTAACAATAAAAAATCTGAAAGAGAAATTAAGGATTCAATCCCATTCACCATTACAACAAAAAGAATTAAATATCTAGGAATTAACTTACCTAAGGAGATGAAAGAACTGTATACAGAAATGACAATTAATTTCCAAAATATGCAAGCAGTTCAAACAACTCAATACCAGAAAAACAAACAACCTAATCAAAAAGTGGGAAAAAGACCTAAACAGACATTTCTCCAAAGAAGACATACAGATGGCTAACAAACACATGAAAAGATGCTCAACATTGCTCATTATTAGAGAAATGCAAATCAAAACTACAATGAGATATCACCTAACACCAGTCAGAATGGCCCTCATCCAAAAGTCTACAAACAATAAATGCTGGAAAGGGTGTGGAGAACAGGGAACGTTCTTGCACTGTTGGTGGGAATGTAAATTGATACAGCCACTTTGGAAGTTGGTATGGAGATTCCTTAAAAGTACGAGGAATAAAACCACCATATGACCCAGCAATCCCACTCCTAGGCATATACACTGAGGAAACCAAAATTGAAAGAGACACATGTATCCCATTGTTCATTGCAGCGCTATTTACAATAGCTAGAACATGGTGTAAAGTTAGGTTTGTCTATTCAATGTGTTTCTTGTCTGTTGAGGTAGGATCATATTGCTATAAACTTCCTTCTTAGAACTGCTTTTGCTGCTTTGAGTTGTCATGGTTTCCTTCTCATTTGTTTCTAGACAGATGAATAGACAGATGAATGGATAAAGTTGTGGTACATATACACAATGGAACATTACTCAGCCATAAAAAGGTACACATTTGAGTCAGTTCTAATGAGGTGGATGAACCTAGAACCTATTATGGAGGGTGAAGTGAGTCAGAAAGAGAAAGATAAATACCATATTCTAACACATATATACGGAATTTAGAAAAATGGTACTGAAGAATTTATTTACAGGGCAGCAGTGGAGAAACAGACGTAGAGAATAGACTTATGGACATAGGGAGAGGGGAGGGGAGAGTGAGATGTATGGAAAGAGTAACATGGAAATTTACATTACCATATGTAAAATAGATAGCCCATGGGAATTTGCTATTTGACTCAGAAAACTCAAACAGGGGCTCTGTATCAACCTAGAGGGGTGGGATGGGGTGGGAGTTTCAAAATGGAGGGGATATATGTATACCTATGGCTGATTCATGTTGAGGATTGACAGAAAGCAGCAAAATTTTGTATAGCAATTATCCTTCAATAAAAAATAAATTAATTAAAAATATGTAAATCTAAGATGTAAAACATTCAGAAAACTAAGATCATGGCATCTGGTCCCATCACTTCATGGCAGATGGATGGGGAAACAATGGAAACAGTGGCTGACTTTATTTTTCTTGGCTCCAAAATCACTGCAGATGGTGATTGCAGCCATGAAATTAAAAGACACTTACTCCTTGGAAGGAAAGTTATGACCAACCTAGACAGCATATTAAAAAGCAGAGACATTACTTTGCCAACAAAGGTCTGTCTAGTCAAGGCTATGGTTTTTCCAGTGGTCATGTATGGATGTGAGAGTTGGGCTACAAAGAAAGCTGAGTGCCAAAGAATTGATGTTTTTGAACTGTGGTGTTGGAGAAGACTCTTGAGAGTCCCTTGGACTGCAAGGAGATCCAACCAGTCCATCCTAAAGGAGATCAGTCCTGGGTGTTCATTGGAAGGACTGATGTTGAAGCTGAAACTCCAATACTTTGGCCACCTGATGCAAAGAGCTGACTCATTGGAAAAGACCCTGATGCTGGGAAAGATTGACTCAATGGACGTGGGTTTGGGTGGCCTCCGGGAGTTGGTGATGGACAGGGAGGCCTGTCGTGCTGCAGTTCATGGGGTTGCAAAGAGTCAGACACGACTGACTGACTGAACTGAACTGAAGATGTAAAAGATAATACGGAAAGAGGCCACAGTGGGTGAAAGACATCAGCAGATTTGGGGATGAGCAAAAGCAAAATGGAGAAATAGCAATGACTTGACATAGCTGAGAAAGAACTGTGCTTTCTTGTAGATCTATCTACTTGTAGATGGATGTGTCATCCTAAGGAATTAGAGGCAGTGGGTGCTGCTGAAGATGGGGAGAGGAGAAGAAGCTAAAAGCAGGATTGACTGGTATATATGGAGGAGTTAGGTACTCATGTCTTCTTCCTAACTCTAAGAAGGGCTAGATGGTTCTCCGAAGAAACCAACTCTTCTGACTCAAGGACACACAGGTTCTACAGAAGCTTAAGAGTAAGTTGCCATATTAAAAATGGGGATGAAGTGATTATGTTGTCATGATAAATAGTATGACTCCCAGCCACTTCTGCTTGCTTTGCTCCAGGAACATAGCAACCAGGTGTGGATTCCCACTCTCCCAAGAGACTAGATGCTTCATCTCAAGAGAATTTGGTCTGTTCCAGTGAAGCTTACAGATCCTTACTGTTGAGGTCTCTCCCCAGTCATTCTGCAAGGAAGCCCACTGATCAAGAATCCTACTACATCCTTTGATTTTTCATTCATCTTTTTAGTGACTCATCTTAAACACGAATGGTCAGCCAAAGATTATTAGACATTTGTAGAAAGCCTCCACCATGAAACAGATGGACATAGAGACCAAAACTAGCAAAATAGGGGGGAGGAAGAACTCTGGGAAAGCAGAGTAACTACAGTAAACAGAGGATGATTTAAAAAGTGAAAAAACAAAAGACACTGTATGAAGTAGTAAGATTCTATTTTTAAAAATCTAAAAAATGGAATTTTTGGAAGTTAAGAAGAACAAATAAGATTAGAATAATATAGATTAAAGATCAACTAAGATTTCTTGAACTCTTTTACTTGTAGAAAGCACAGTTCTGTTCTTTATATGTTTACTCTTTCAATCATCATCATGACCACTTTACAGAGTAAGTAGTATTATCCTCATTTACAGGTGAGAAGATGGATACAACAGAGGATGGACTTACCAGTATTTAAATCCTGGCAGTTTGGCCCCGATTCTGGTTTTGAGGCACTGTGGTAAATATTGCCCTTTAATGTTCCCCAAAGGAACAAAATATCTAATAAGTAGAATAAAGATCCAGAAATGACAGAGAATCAGTCCAGGGAGGTTTGCCATCTACCCTAAAGTTAAAGAAGGAAGTAGCTCATAAGAGGAAGGGAAGGAACTTACCCAGAAAATAAAACAGAGACAGTTCCCAAAGCTGATGTTCATGAATATCCAGTCAAAAGGGCACAAAATTTCCTTTATAGTGGATGAAAAGACCCTTATTAAGGCCATCCACCATGACATTGCAGTGCATCAGGCATATAAGACAGTGGAAATTAGCCTTCATGATTTTGAGTGCAAATGATTTCTAGCTTAGAATTCTATACCAGACTTTCAGTATAAAAGTAGAAAATAACCATTTTCAAACATAACAAGGTTCCAAAAGCTGTATCTCCTCTGCGCCTTTTTTTCAGGAGAATGTCAGAACAAAAGTCTAAACCAGTAGACTTTTCTCAACTGGGGGTGCTTTTGCCCACTGGAAACATTTGTCAGTGCCTGAAGATGTTTCTGGTTGTCGTGACTGGAAATGAGGGTGTTCTTTAGGCATCTCTGGGTAGAGGCTAGAGATGCTGCCAGATATCTTATAGTGTATATGATAGAACCTCACAACAAAAAATTACAGGGCCCAGATGTCAGTGGTGCCAATATTGAGAAAGTCTGGTGTATACCAAAAGAGACAGTAATGTGGGACCTGGGAAACAGGGACTCCAAATAGGAAAAGAGTGAAGGTTGAGTACAGGGTGATGGTTCTGTGGCAGGCCTAGAGAACAGCCAAGCACAGATAGGAACTAACAGATTACCTGACCATGTGGAAAACTGTTTTGAAATGAGTTTTAGAATTTTAAGATTTTGTGAAAAATTAATGACTAGATCGTAAAACACTAAGAAAACAACAACAACAAAAGTTTTGTCAAGGAGAAAGATGAGCAGAAAAGGAAATGTACAGCTTCCCTGGTGGCTCAGTGGTAAACAACCTGCCTGCCAGTGCAGGAGACACGGGTTTGACCTGATCAGGGAAGATCACACATGCTGTGGAGCAGCGAAGCCCGTGAGCCACAACTATTGAGCCCGTACTCTAGAGCTCAGAAGCCGCAACTACTGCGCCCACATGCTATAACCACTGAGGCTGGCATGCCCCAGAGCCCGTTCTCCGCAACAAGAGAATTGACTGCAGTGAGAAAGAAGCCCACCACTGCAACTGGAGAAAAGCCTGTGCATTAAAGACCCAGCACAGCCAAAACTAAATAAATAAGTAAAATTGTAAAAAAGAAAGAAAGAAATGTAATCATAGTATATACCATTACCACATGACTTAACTTTGAAATATATTTACACAGATTGAACAATATAAACACTAGAAAGATAGTGGAGGACAGAGGAGCCTGGCATGCAACAGTCCATGGGGTCGAAAAGAGTCAGACATGACTTAGCAACTGAATAACAACATTGATTAAACCATAAATTATAATATAGTTCTGCTGCATTGTGAGGCATTACATCATCACAAGACTACTAAATCTTTACCTTTCACAATAATCCAAAATTAGGAAGTAAAAAATAAGTATAAACATATTAATACTGTTTTGGAAAACAGAGGTAAATATCAGGGAAAACATGTGCAAGTGTGGGAAGAAGTGGCCTCTAAGTAGTAGCTCTTAAGGTGGTGAGGGAACTGGTGGGGCAAGGATGTACTCTCTTTTGGTTTGGTTTTGTATGTAAAACTGACTTTTTAAAATCAGACATGTTTATGATATGCATGTATTTCTCTTTTTTAAGATTCATCTTTCCCACTGGGTATATGCAGTTTAATATCAGGGTTATTGTTAAATATAAAAGACCTATGGATATCAGAAGCACTGTTTCCCCAAATGATCCAAGAGTCCATGAAAAGTGAGAAGGTGTCTGATGACTTTGGATGTAGTACTTCAGGGTCTAAGACTGCTGAGACGAGACTTTGCCTTTTTAGTCCAAACCCAGCGGAACAAAAGAGGGGGGGTGGAAATTATATCCCATTTGTTTTTCAGCTCTTCCACATTGACTTTGGACATATTCTTGGAAATTTCAAGTCTAAATTTGGCATTAAAAGGGAGCGAGTGCCTTTTATTCTTACTTATGATTTCATTCATGTGATTCAACAAGGAAAAACAGGAAACACAGAAAAATTTGGCCGGTGAGTGTTGTCCTTGTGTCAAAGTAAACACATCTACTGTTTTCTTGTATGACCAGTTAGGCTAGCATTTCTTAGCTGAGAGATATTTAATTGGGGAGACAGTCTGCTAACAGGAGGTTTTCGGGAATTTGCCTGTGAGATCCATGTTCTGATTTAGAGAAGAATGAAAAATAATGCTAGGAATTTGAGATAAATTACTGTTTTATTCCAATAGAATACTGCCTTTTACCTGCATTGGAAAATTCTCTGAAACTGTTAAGACAGTTGATAGACATTTGAAATGCTGAAAGGAACTGGCATTTTGCTGTCATTCAATGTGAAGTATGATAAGAGAGTCAGAGTTCACAGAAAGACTTTGTAATCTCGGATCTATTCTTGGCTGTTTGATGTTTCCAAACACATTACTTATCATCCCACCTTTGTTTCTTCATTTTCAATGGTGACAAAAATAATTAAGCTTCAGGGATATTTGGATAATGAGAGATATGTTATATGATGTGACCAACTCATACAATAAGCTTAACAAATGATTTATAGTATTATTTCCAGATCTGCCTGGGCTTCTGCACAATATATCTCTGGATCCATTTTTCTCTTTGGTAACATTAGGGAGATAGGATTGGGTGGTCCTCTTGAATGACCATCTTGAAGAGGAGAGAGAAGGAAGGGAAGATACATTATTTGGGGGACATTAAAGAAACTAAGTCTCTGGAGTCAGACCACAAATATAGAATCAAGAAATATGGTTAGAAATCATTACGGAGTGTAATTACCACTTTTTCTACAATTAAGTTTTTATGTCTTATAGAATAAAAATGTGTAGATTAAGTGTGACATTGCCTTTTATATATTTCTGTTTAGTTTTGTTTCTGGAAAAGATATATGTGGTGTTAGAGAGCTTGATTTATTTTATGTAAATAAACTTATTTCAGTCCTGGGACAATTTTCAAAGAAGTAAAAATTCCAGCTTGTATGGAAAGTCTAGCTATATCTCTCATTTTCATTCATGAAATATGCTGTTTCTGTTCTGATATCATACTCCTGTGATTTGCTTGCATCAACTGAAGGTTCCACCAGTGTTGTGAGGATACATATCTGATTTTACGCTGGCATGGGAATCTCTTCATCACGCTCTTTGCACTGATGTTGACTGCAGGGCTTCCTGAGCTCACCTCAGTCAAGGATATACAGTATCTTAAGGTATAAACCTCTTTCCTTTGTAATTTGGGCCTTGTAAATATAGAGCTCAGTTCTATCTACCTGTTTCATCCAGACATTCAAAGGAAATGGAATAAAATCATTTACCCTTGAGTGGTGGTAGCAAGAAGCTAGTTGTCTTGCAGTAATTGTAAATTCATTTCATCTGCGAAAACCCTTTGGCAGAGGTCATATTATCACCATATCTTGGTGTTCATTCTCTCTCCTGTAAATGGTATTTGAATAAGAACATGGAGTACACTGTATGGCTGAGCCGGCCTTTCTACAGACTTTGAGGTTTGCACCTCACTATGGAGAATACATAAAATCACATTTTCTCTCTCATTGCCAGGACTCTCTTGCCTTAGGGAAGAGTGAAGAAGAAGCACTCAAGCAATTCAAGCAAAAATTTGATGAGGCACTCAGGGAAAGTTGGACTACTAAAGTCAATTAGATGGCCCACGCAGTTTGGAAAGACTACAGATCTTAATGATCAGTCTTTGCTCCTAATGTGTTTGTTGGTTTCATTTAGTTTTCATTTTGCACTTGCACTAAATTGAACATGACCCTGCCAGAGATGTTATAAAGGGAATGAAATCCTGGACCCGAGAGTTAAATTAAGAATGGGGTATCCCACAGAAACCTAATCTGAATAATCCCTGACAACACCCTCTGCTTTTTGAATGCTTCCAAGATTCATCATGAAAACTCAACATTATGGGTAATCATTTCCTGCTGACTTTACACTCCAAGGAATGCTACTAGAGATTGTTTTTTGTTTTTTGTCCTTTTTTTCTTTTTTTAAGTATTTGGTACTTTTCTGGAAAGATGTAAATACTTCTTTTTCATATTGTGACCAAGTGTTATCACTCAGCCAACTTATCCGTACCTGGGGACTAGTAGCTGTTCTTACTTTCCAAATGAGGCTTAAAAGAAAGCTTTCTTTCCTCCCTTTTTAAATTATATAAACTAGAAATTATAATATAATTTGAAATTATGATTATTTTTCAAGAGAAATCTTTTAAACCTGTGGAAACATTAATTCTTTTGTTGATATTTATCTACCGTGATAGCATCATCTCAGCCAGAATTGTTGAAAATCTGCTTGGTGAGGCAAATATAATTTATGCTGCATATATATTTATAAAATTTCTAATGGGGGTTCTATATAAAAAGATATTATTTTGATTTTCTTCAGCCTTCCTTTTAAAGTTTTACAAAAGCAGAATGGAATTGGAGGAATCAACCTGCCTGACTTCAGACTATACTGCAAAGCCACAGTCATCAAGACAGTATGGTACTGGCACAAAGACAGAAATATAGATCAATGGAACAGAATAGAAAGCCCAGAGATAAATCCACGAACCTATGGTCACCNGTTCTTACTGTATTTATTAAAACTTGTAATAATGTGATTTTTCAAGAATATTAGTTCAAATTGAAATGTTTCATGCCACATGGAACTCTTTAATTTATTTGTTGAGGTACCATATATTTAGGGTGCTAGATTGCAGATAATGTTAATATGTGCAATAGGAACTACTGGTTTGAATGTGTAAATGGAGGCTCTTTCTGAGTACTGGCAACATCCAGCAAAACTACTGCTTATTCTCCAAAGACTATCGGGAGCTCTCAGTCCTCAATGACATGGAAAGGAGAACTGAATGTTTGCCCTGAGACTGAGTTTTCTATAGGAATTTTATTAAAAATTGTTGAATTTTGTTGTCTTCCTTAATGTTCTCAGTCAAATAAATGGGTGAGCTGGTTTTGGTTGCTCTTGGGATGTGTGGACCTCTTCTTTATGGGCAGCACAGGCCTTTGAACTTTGATGCTGGGACCATCAGAAATGGTCAGGTCAGTAGACAAAGCAGCCTCAGGAGTAAGCTGAGGATTATGGTCTCTTCGGTGACTTCTCTCCTTGTTTCCCAGCCCATCAGGCAATATGGGAGGCCTCTTGGACTTTGGAAGCCTGAGACATGAGGGTGTCCTCACCGAGTTCCCATGCCTTTGTCAAGGATCCTGAGCTCTGGGAAAATGTCCTTTCAGTTAAACTTGGTACCCAAGGCCAGGCTAGTCACTCTATAGCTCTCTCCCATTAGGCAGATGCTCAGAGATTCTCAGAAATAACTCAGCTGATGGTAGGGGTGGAGCTCTGAACTGACTGACCATTCAGTTCAGTTCTTGATGAACAGGGACTGTTCTAGACTCAATGAGAGTGCCAGGAATAGGACTGAAGGACAGGTTTGTTTGGGGAGTCTCTGTCCGGTAGCAGTCCACCGTTAAATATACCAGGATATGGGTCAGGGGTTTAGAAAGTGGTGAGATTGCCATGCAGAAGTGGCTACCACTGTTTCCAAAGATGTCTCAGCCCGTGTGTTCCTTGGTAAACATATGCTTAATCAGTGAATGTCTTCATGAGTAAGAAAGGGAAATGAACCTGCCCAGACAGTGCTGGACCTGAGGCTGGCATGGCTCTTGACTATCCTGCCTGCTGCCATAGGCCCCGATAGATAGCAGTGGTAGCACTCCGTAGCTGCTGAGCACTCCGAGCAGGTGCTCCAAACACACTTGCTGATGTGCGTGTCTGATTCTCAGGGGCTTCTCCTGAGTCAGAAAGATGAACGATAGTCAATGCCCACAGCGGGCTAGGGGTCTGGGCTGTAGGAACAATTCCCTGCCTGGGGGCTGGTTACTCAGTGCCTTGGCTCCCTGCCTTTGGTTCTTTCCCAAAACAAGGTCTTGGAAACCCTATACATTTCCATACTTGAGGACAGCACCTGTGTCCACCCAGGTCTGGGATGACAAAGGATGACTTTTAAGTTGTTTCCTGAGTATTCTCCTTATGTGTATAGTCAGACCCTGAGCTACAGAGGCTAGTTTGCAGTCCAGCTCTGCCTCTCTGACCTTGGCATAAGGTGTTTACTTTCTTTCTCAGGGTCTGAGCTTCCCGTTTGTAGTGTGGGATTGGTAATAACTGCTGTACTCGATTCTGTGGAACAGGCTAGTTTAAGACTGAATGGAAATATGTGCTGAGTCCCAACTCCAAGGCAACCTCATTTATTTCTCTGCTTCCCCCTCCTGAAGGCCACTGAAGGGAGGAATCTCATGGAAGGGTCCAGAGCTCTGTGCCTATCTCCAGTCTTCCAGTGTCTTCTCAGTGCTGCCTTGTCCAGCCTATAGCCCCGACTGTCAGCGCCAGATCTTAGCCTGAAATGCAGGGATCACTTGTCTGTAGAGGTGAAAGATTGGTCCACAAGGTGAACAGCAGAGAGGTACTCCGCCATGTCACCCTGACTGTTGGGGGCAAGCAGCTCTTAGGAGGGAGGGAGCAGGGGCTTCAGTTTCCTGGAGAAGTGGGCCTCTGAGCTGAGTTCTTCAGGGACAGATAGGAGCTCGGTGAAGGGGAGTGGGAAGGGCATGGTGGGCAGGGAGGTACAGCATATATGAAGCATGACTCGTGGGCATTAACACGATCGGCAATTGCTTATTTCTGCCTGCTTCTTCCCCTTCCTGCACACCAGAATGCTGCATCTCTTCCCAGGTAGGATCATGTCATCCTGGAGCCTCCTTCTCTTTCAGTATTGGCAGTGGTTTTATTCCCTTTTCCTACAAAGAAAAAACTGTCTGACATCACTTTCTGGGTCATTACTACATGAAAAAATATAACTAATGGATTTTTGGAACTCCTGATTCCCCTTCACTTTTAACAAAACCCAGGTTTATTACTTACAAGTCTGGCCTTTCAGATCTTCTCCACCTTCTCTTCTACCATTTTTATTGTGGAAAGTACATAAAACAATAATACATATAAATAATATTAGCATATAGAGCAAACATCCAGGTCACTACAACACAGGTCAAGAAACAACACTGACAAAACCTCAGAAAGCTTTCAAGTTTCCCCTTCCTGGTAAAGGCTCTGCCAAGGTAATCGCTGTTATCTTCTTTTATGGCAATCATCAAGATTCTTTCCCTTAGCATTGTGTTTTTAAGATTCAGTCATTTAATTGCCTATATCTCCATTCTTTATCATCACTGTATAGTATTCCATGTTATGGATACCCTATAATTTACATACAGGTTGTTTCTAGTTTGAGGCTATTACAAATGATGCTACTGTGATTATTAGAATTTATCTCCGATTTCACATGTGTATGTATTTCTTTGGATGTATATACTTAAGATTAAAACTGGTGGGTCACAGACTTATAGACATCTTTATTTTTACCAAGTAATGCTACATTGAGTGGTTATAGCAATTTATTTTCCCCTGGTACTTAATTCTTATTGCTCCACATTCTCACCAACACCCACTTAACCAACGTTTAAAGAATTTTAGCCATTTGTGTTTATCGTAAGCTAGTTTGCATTTCCCTGACTAGTAATGAGATTAAATTGCTTTTTCTTACCTGTTTTTAGCCATTTGGATTTTCTCCTTTGTGAAATGCCTGCTTGTGAAAGTCACTCAGTCATGTCTGACTCTTTGCAACCCCATGGACTATACAGTTCATGGGATTCTCCAGGCCAGAATACTGGAGTGGGTAGCCTTTCCCTTCTCCAGGGGATCTTACCAACCCAGGGATTGTATCTTCTTTTATGGCAATCATCAGGATTCTTTCCTTCAGCATTGTGTTTTTAAGGTTCAGCCATTTAATTGCATGTATCTCCATTCTTCATCATCACTATATAGTATTCTAAGTTATGGATACCCTATAATTTATATGTCCTGTCTACTCTTGGGCACATACAGGTTGTTTCTAGTTTGAGGCTATTACAAATGATGTTACTGTGATTATTAGAATTTATCTCCTATTTCACATGTGTATGTATTTCTTTGGATGTATATACTTAAGATTAAAATTGGTGGGTCACAGACTTATAGACATCTTTATATTTACCAAGTAATGCTACAATGAGTGGTTATAACAATTTATTTTCCCCGGTACTTAATTCTTATTGCTCCACATTCTCACCAACACCCACTTAACCAGCGTTTAAAGAATTTTAGCCATTGTGTTTATAGTAAGCTAGTTTGCATTTCCCTGACTAGTAATGAGATTAAATTGCTTTTTCATACCTGTTTTTAGCCATTTGGATTTTCTCCTTTGTGAAATGGCTGCTTGTGAAAGTCACTCAGTCATGTCTGACTCTTTGCGACCCCATGGATTATACAGTTCATGGGATTCTCCAGGCCAGAATACTGGAGTGGGTAGCCTTTCCCTTCTCCAGGGGATCGTATCAACCCAGGGATCCAACCCAGGTCTCCCACATTGCAGGCGGAGTCTTTACCATCTGAGCTGCATGGGAATAAGTCCTTTATCTATTTACTTAGTTACTTGTCATTTTGGATTTTTGTTTTGAGGAAGGATATTTTTAATTTTGCTTTTCAATTTTTGTTGTGTGAAATTCTGTATATATTTTGTATACAAGCCTTATGTTTGTTCTAATAACATAAAATCTTAATTGTAATGTCCAGTTTATCATTATTTTCCTTTCTGGTTAATATCCTTTGTATAATATTTAAGAAATCTTTCCCAAATCTTTCCCTATCTCAAGGTCACAAAGATATTCATCTGGATTATCCTCTGAAAGCTTAATTTTTTTCCTAATCTGTTTTGATCTGTAATCTACTTGGAACTTCTTTTTACATATAGTGTGGTGTTTTTCCTAATACCTTTCATTTGGAAATATAATCCTCTTTCCCCACTGTTCTGTATCTCCCTTGGTTAAACTATCTGTCCACATATGCATGAGTCTGCATCTGAACTCTAGAAGATATCCAGTAGATTTCATTTTCATGTTTTTATTTTATTTTACATAATTAAACTCATGCATAGTATTTCATGTGTGCTGGGCATACATCTAAACTATATATATTTAATCTTTTTAACAATCATGTGATAGTTCTTTCCTAATTTACAAGTGACAGAATGCATAGTCACTAAGTAGGAGGCAGTATTCAAATTCAGGGAGTCTGTCTTACGTGTCCATGCCCTTTATTCACATCAAAAGATGAATAGAAGCAGTATTTAACCTTTTGCTGACCTCAAAGGGAAAATCTTCAATAGGTATGGTGTTTACTTTGGAATCTGGATCTTTTATCAAGTTAAAGAAGCATGTTTCAGTTCCCACAGGACTTGTTTCAAAAATCATGAAGAATGCTGAATATTATCAAGTTATTTTTCTATATTTGACAAAAATGATCAT